ATCCAGGTACACTAGGGCTATCTTCCATTGTAGGCCAGTACTCTTTCCATCAGCCTCACAAATGTTGCTGGAGCATTACTGAGCCCAAATAGCATCACTTGGTATTACCAGAGACCTTGGTCATAACTAAATGCTGTCTTGGGTCTATCTGCTTCAGCCATTTTACTTGATGGAAACCTGACTTTAAGTCCAGAGTTGAAAACCACTTGGCTCCACTTAGGGCATCAAGAGTATCATCAATTCTTGGCAGTGGGTATGAGTCTTTTTCGGTTATACTGTTAAGAGCCCTGAAGTCCCATACAGCAACGTTGGGTCCCATCCTTCTTCTGGACTAATACGACAGGAGCTGACCAGGGACTATCTGATTTCTCGACTATCCCTTCCTTAATTAGACCACCTATGACCTTCTCTATCTCTTGTCGCTTTTCTGGAGCTATTCTCCTCGGAGGGATCTTTATTGGATGGTGAATGCCTGTGTTTATTCTGTGCTCCACAAAGTCTGTGCAGCCGAGGTCATGATCTCCTTTCGAAAAGACGTCAGCATAATTTGCCAAAGGTTCTTTTACCTGAAGAGCCTGTGATGATGCCAAATGAACTATGCTCTTTTTATAGAGGTCAGTCAAATATTCTGGAAGTGTATGTCCTTTCTTTACAGTTGTATTCCTTGCTTTAACATTGACTGGCTCTACGTCCTGGCACACACCCAACAATGCCCTTTCCTTAATTGTCTGCTCACATTTTGAGAAATTGACTACTGTTATAGGTACTACTTGATGACCTGCTACGAGCGACCTTCCAATATTCAAATCCGCTGGTCTGAATGGGTCTTCCACTGCTTCTATAAACATTGGACTTCCATGGGGATGTTCTTTTATCCTAACCCAAATTATCTTCTCTGACATAGGGGGAATTGTAGTTGATTTAAGTGCTGTGACATGCAGATCAACGGATGTAGCAATACTGACTGGAATCTGGCTTTTGTTGTTTCCAATCGTCATTTGATTGAAGTTAACTACACACTTCCTCGGTAGTAGATAGTCCAATCCTAATATGCATTGGTCTTCAATGTCAGCCAAGTATACTTTCTGTCTGTTCTTCATGCCCATGAGCTCAATAGTTACCCACACTGGTCCTCACGACCTTGTAGAATGTCCTGTCACACCATAAAGCTTCTGTATGTCTTCTGGTACTCCTTCGTGATCTAACACCTTGATGCTCACAAGGGTTTGCTGAGACGCAGAATCTATGACAAAGTTGCACTTTTGGCCATCCAGCTTTCCTGTCACATAGACACTATGTGTGCTTGGCATTTTACACATAGCTGTTGGGACTTTCAAGATGGGGGTTGATGGGCGTCGCTCAACACCAACCACTACTGGTCTCCTTGAGGCCGACTTGTTGGTAATATTCCTCCTACACTGGCTCCTCAAATGTCCTTGCTCCCCACAGTTCCGACAGCCTTTCTGAGTAGCAACCTTTCCTGCTGTATCATCTCCCCTGTGCTGAAGTTTCCAGCATTGAGCTCTCTTGTGCCCAGGTTTGTTACAGTGCCAGCAAAGTCCCTCAAAC